CGTGCCTCAATCGGGTTATATCCACGAGGCAATCACCGAGGAAAGGTACGTGTACCTTTTGTCGCAACACGCGTTTCTTCAGCTGCGATCGTGCACGATTGCACGGTCCGAATTGCGGAGGGAAACCGAGTGACCTGCCTGGGGTGCCTTTAGAAAAGAATGGCGCAATCAGCGGCGGTGTGCAATTCAGTGACCGCGCGGCTATATCGTTTCGTGTACGATTGCTGGGTGGTCACAGATCGGTGTGACTCTAGTCTGAATCATTCACACGTTAATGCCCCATTCACATCTGCGAATGAGACCGACTGGATGACTCTCACAAAATGCTCTTGAGCAGCTGTGAGCAGGAAGTGCCGTAGAAAGCAAATGACAGCTGACAGCGCCCTCAGCCATTCGCATGCAATCAGACGCGCTGCAATTACTTGTGCACGATCGCCCCCGAGTCCAGGGACAATCCTCTGCTGGTGATGGCAGCACGTCCGATGGCATGTGAATGTCTGTAAATGCCGTGTTCTTGAACACCAGCAAGCAACGCAGAATTCAGTCATGTACATCAGGAAAAGCGAATACACAGGACCCGTTCACACCAGTGTTGCCTCAGCGCCTAGACCTAGATGTCCTATGGTAGGGGTAGGCAACATCAGCAGAACTACAAGTCCCATGAGGCATTTCCAACAGCCACGACTACCAGAAGCAGAGGCATGACAGGATTTGTAGTTGCCTATCCCTGCCATAGGACATGAGGCAAATTGCCATGTCTATATGTTGGGGCTGGTGTGAATGAGCCAGAAATGTCCAACATCAGGCTTAAAGCAAAAGGTGAATATGCAACGCACTGTGACGACCCATACCAGTGGGCATGCGTTATACAAAGCATGACTTGCACCCTCTGGTGTGAATAGGCCTTCTGACAGCACCCTCCGCCTGCAGGTTCAACATATCAACTATCCAGGGTCTGGACAAATCCCAGGAGCCAGGTCGCCAATAGTCATATCGTATAACTTTCTCCTGATTCCAAGCTATTCGGGAAGTGTCATCCCCTGATGGCGTCTCCATAACGGAGGGGCCACTTGTGTCGCTCTACAGGTCATGGCGATGGGGACTTAAGCAGCCAATCATGCAAACTGATGACTGGATATTGATCCCGAGGAGGGAAAAGATGATCCGTTATCAGTGTACGAGGGCTGGGCTAGGACTTCATGTATGAGGATGGCCCTGCCCCTTGTGTCTATCCATGATCCTGATAGATTGCAAGCTCTTCGGGACAACGGCTCTCATCCCTTCATGGTATGTCATGTATCATTATCACTGTATGGCCCTTTAAATACCAAATCAATATAAAAACTTCAAAACCCCAAAACAATGTAACTGATGTAGAGTTCAGAAGAAGAGAGGCATTCTGGGTACATGGGATGCGGTCACCGCAAGCTATAAAATACGCCAATTCCCATCAATATTCTACCCCAGGGTACGCCACCTCGGCACTGCAGCTGTTGTGGAACTACAAGTCCCATGAGGCATTGCAAGACACTGACAGTCCCAGGCATGACTCCTGAGGCCAAGGCATGATGGGATTTGTAGGTTGCCCACAGACGGCGCGCCGAGGTTCCCTACCCCTGATCTAGATAATTGGATGAATAATGTAAGGCATCATTTATGAATATGAAGATCACTTGTATAGGTAGAACAGGGGTAGGCCACCTTGACACTGCAGCTGTTGCGGAACTACAAGTCCCATTAGGCATTGCAAGACACTGACAGTCACAGACATGACTCCTGAGGCCAAGGCATGAGGAGATTTGTAGTTTCACCACAGCTGGAGGGCCAAAGTTGCCTACCCCTGGTCTAGAGAAATGAAGAACCTCCAGATGAGGATCATGCAGAATCAGACACCTCAGATCAGATTGTGTAGTGTATGGCCAGCCTGGCAGATTGTAATGCGTGTGGTGAAATGTACAGTTATATCTGCACTGTATAGATTCCCAAGGAGCACAAACCAGTCACCAAACACAACACTGGTATCCACTCCCTCTCCAGCTACAATGCCTCTCTTACATGTACCTGCGTGAGATGCTTCAGATGGAAGCTGTCCTTCTGTGACTCCTGGCCTGCTGCATAGAGGTTTAGAGGAAGCTATGTCACTGGCAGCAAAGGCTGAAGCTATGCGGACAATGTTACCGAGGGGCAGCAATCAATGGATGAAGCTTCCTCTCTGGGATGGACCAACATCTAACATGGAGGGATAAGGAACCCAGTCCGAATCAGAGCTCCTCTGAACCTGGAAGGGACATGGGGCCCCCTGCTGTCGCCCAATCAGCTGCGTGCTGAGGAATTCCCCATCCTGTACATAAACAAAGGGGCGGGGTGCAGTAACATCATACTTATATGGCCACATAGCGATATATAGTTAACGTCGCTGACCAAATATGGGCACGTAGCGATAGTCAACGCCGCTGACCAAATATGGGCACGTAGCGATGTATAGTCAACGCTGCTGACCAAATATGGGCACGTAGCGATGTATAGTCAACGCCGCTGACCAAATATGAGCACGCAGCGATGTATAGTCAACGCCGCTGACCAAATATGGGCACGCAGCGATGTATAGTCAACGTCGCTGACCAAATATGGGCACGTAGCGATGTATAGTCAACGCCGCTGACCAAATATGAGCACGCAGCGATGTATAGTCAACGCCGCTGACCAAATATGGGCACGCAGCGATGTATAGTCAACGTCGCTGACCAAATATGGGCACGTAGCGATGTATAGTCAACGCCGCTGACCAAATATGAGCACGCAGCGATGTATAGTCAACGCCGCTGACCAAATATGGGCACGCAGCGATGTATAGTCAACGTCGCTGACCAAATATGGGCACGTAGCGATGTATAGTCAACGCCGCTGACCAAATATGGGCACGTAGCGATATATAGTCAACGCCGCTGACCAAATATGGGCACGTAGCGATATATAGTCAACGTCGCTGACCAAATATGGGCACGTAGCGATATATAGTCAACGCCGCTGACCAAATATGGGCACGTAGCGATATATAGTCAACGCCGCTGACCAAATATGGGCACGTAGCGATATATAGTCAACGTCGCTGACCAAATATGGGCACGTAGCGATATATAGTCAACGTCGCTGACCAAATATGGGCACGTAGCGATATATAGTCAACGCCGCTGACCAAATATGGGCACGTAGCGATATATAGTCAACGTCGCTGACCAAATATGGGCACGTAGCGATATATAGTCAACGTCGCTGACCAAATATGGGCACGTAGCGATATATAGTCAACGCCGCTGACCAAATATGGGCACGTAGCGATATATAGTCAACGCCGCTGACCAAATATGGGCACGTAGCGATATATAGTCAACGTCGCTGACCAAATATGGGCACGTAGCGATATATAGTCAACGTCGCTGACCAAATATGGGCACGTAGCGATATATAGTCAACGTCGCTGACCAAATATGGGCACGTAGCGATATATAGTCAACGCCGCTGACCAAATATGGGCACGTAGCGATATATAGTCAACGCTGCTGACCAAATATGGGCACGTAGCGATATATAGTCAACGTCGCTGACCAAATATGGGCACGTAGCGATATATAGTCAACGTCGCTGACCAAATATGGGCACGTAGCGATATATAGTCAACGTCGCTGACCAAATATGGGCACGTAGAGATATATAGTCAACGTCATTGGCCAAATAAAGGTCAATGACATCACTGCACCATGCCCCTTTGTTTACATGCAGCTACAGGGAAGGAATTCCCCAACACGTAGCTGATTGGGTGGCATCAGAAGGAGCGTCCTTCCAGGTATACAGGAGCTCAGGTTCAGAGCTTGGGAAACTCCATTCCAAAATCAAATGTGCCAACTATGACATCACGTAAGGTATGGTGGCCCCCTCTAAAGACCGCCATAGACTGTTCAATCCAAAATCAATGGATTCCCCCATCTGAACAGCAGAGGGATCTCCCCGGCTGGCTATTGTACTCAGGCAGCCGCGGCATCTGCAGCTGCCAAAATGCAATGGCATTGTTGAACAATATCTACATCTGATACACGCCGCAACAGTGTGAACCCGCTGGAGAAGTTTCCGCCTCGCGGTTCTTGCGATGAAATGTACAATTCGGAATTAGAGATGAATGACACGATCTGATAGAGCGCGGGTCTGGTGACAACAAGGAGGGGTCACTTCCTGTTACGAGCATAGCTGTGCGTGTTAATGTGAATCGTTGCCAGCCACTACAGTAGCCACTCCCCCTGCGCTCTTTACTTCTCAACAACCAATGACAACACAAAAAAAATCTCCAGCTGTCACAGAGGGATGATTTCCAATATTCGTGGAAGATCGACCAGCACGCGGGGCCATGGTGGTTCAATAGAGACCCACCTCCATTCACAAAGCAGTGAACCAATAAAAAAGCCCAGTTACCGCAAAAGCATAGGCGTCATGTACAGCAGGCTCGGTACAATCTTGACGTCAGTGTCTTCGCTCTTTATCGGTGCATTTGGTTTTTTACACGTGTTTCTGGCACGCTTTTCATTTTCAGGCGTAAGCGTTTCGTTGAGGGCGATTGCGTCAAACGAACAGCGGCTAAAACGGCATTTCTGAGAATATTTGTTGAATCTTACGTACAACCTCCCCATCTGTATCCAACCGTACAATGGACAACCACCCCCATCAGCTCACAATGATGACGATCAGATAGGACGACCATCATCCCTCCACCACGGGCACCTACATCGCCCTGTGCCCGGTGATGGGCATGCACAGAGGGGTGCGCGCACACATACACACGTGGCCAGCGGTGCCATGGCATGCCAGTGCTGGCCATCCAGCATCCACAGTGTGGGTGGAGCAGTGGCTGCATCCATGATGCGCTGCCTCCGGGTACACGGCAGGCCGAGGCAGACGCCGTGCGGAGGGGATACGGGCGGGCGTGACAAGCAGAACAGACCGGTACTCACAGCTCGGGCTCGGGCTGCTCCTTCCGCGGGGTCCGCTCCGCTCGCTGATGCTTCTGCCGCTGCTGCTCTCAGCCGAATGCTGCGCATGCGCGGTGCAGCGAGCTGATTCTCCCCCTTCTCCCGGGTCCCCGTGTGGAGGTGGTGCGAGGCTGTGCGCAGGCGCAGTGGCGGAGGTGTGGCGAGCGGTGGGCGGGGCTGAGGCGGAGACTGCGTCACCGGTTGCTAGGGGGATGTGATGCTGCGGGAGGCAGCTGCGCTGTCACTCCTCTTGTTGTGGAGACTGTTTGAGCAGCAGAACACACACACACCTAGTGCTGTCATGGCGGGGGGATAAACACGGCGAGTACACTGCACATTTCTCATGTGGGTGTGCTGGAATGGCTCACGCATAGCAGGCAACATATTTAAAGTGGACCTGTGCTGTAATACGACCCCCGTCCACCAATAAAATAAAAACTGAAAAAACGGCGATGGAGAATACAAAAAACGTTTCCCAGTCCGCTGCATGCTAAGCACATGCATAATATTGCGCCTTAACACACGTAGCCCTCCAGCTGTTGTGGAACTACACGTCCCATGAGGCATTGCAAGATTCTCACAGACATGACTCCCAGAGACAGATGCATGATGGGATTTGTAGTTTTAGTGCCAGAGTTTGCCCACCCCTGCTCCAGCGGCATATCACCAGCAGTAGAATTACAGCTGTGCAGCAACCGTTCCCCCTAATGGGGATGGCTGCCTCAGAACGAGCGAAGGGGCGGCAATGCAGGGACAGTTCGCTGCTCCAGCCAGTAAGGTTGCGACGTCAAAGAAGAATGAAAGCGGTTCGTTAGCAATTCTGCCCCTGGCGAGCGATCATGTGACAGCTTCCTTCCCAAATACTTGGCACTGCACTCTACACACTTCAGCACACCGTATGGACCACTGTTAGCACAACTGAGCGTTATGTCACATGTTTCACGAAGCGTGACAACGCTCAGCATGAAATCCCCTTATTTTCGTGGTTCACCCCTGAGCGGTGCAGCTCAAAAAAGGAAATGAGAACTTTTTGAGCAGTAGCAAAATCACACAAGGCCGCTTGTTAATGGCAGGGATCTCAAGTCTCCCTGATGTTCAGGGAGTCTCCCTCTAATAGATAGCGGCTCCCTGATGTCCGCGAGAGAGGCATTTTCTCCCTGAAAGGTTTACTCTGAGTAAACCTTTCCGGTAAGATATCAGTGGGTAAAGTTTCAGAGTGAGGCTTGCCTCCTAGAGGAAGGTCATGTGGTCTCTAGAGTAGCCTCAGAACGAGGCTTGCCTCCTGGAGGAAGGTCATGTGATCTCTAGAGTAGCCTCAGAGTAACGGCCGCTGTAAAAAAACCAGAAAGGGCACCTCCCTGAAATAAGGTTTTGCAGGTTGGGTTGTCTGTAAGGGCACCCCAAACATGGCTGGTAACACACGCATTTTTGTCTATGCGTGGACATGCGTTAAACGCACAGTCAAAAAACGACATGCATGAGCTCCTTTGCCTCATTTGTTACACGTGAGGTAGCCCATTGAAGTGAACGGGCGACGCGCAGCAAACACAGCGACAAACGAGCGTGAACGCACATTCACTTGCAAGTGAACATGTGCCAAAGCGTGCGCATTGGTGTGTTTTCACATAATGTGGTAAAACCATGTGAAATGCTTGCGGCGCCATTGTACTACTCAACTCTGTGAGGGGAATTTATCAAAACTGGAGCAGATGGAACCTGGAGCAGCTGCCCATTGTAACCAATCAGCTTCTCTCTTTCATCTTCTAACCTTAATTGAAAAAACTGAAGAGAGAAGCTGATTGGTTGTCATGGGTGACTGTCCCACATCCTGTCTGCTCCAGTTTTGATTAATTCCCTTCACATTTCTCCAGTTCAGCGGGGATCATGTCACCAGGGCATTTTTAGTCCGCATTAACACATTACACAGGCGGCCATGTGCATTGTTTATAATACACAGATGCCCATGTGCATTGATTATAATACACAGATGCCCATGTGCATTGTTTATAATACACAGATGCCCATGTGAATTGTTTATAATACACAGATGCCCATGTGCATTGTTTATAATACACAGATGCCCATGTGCATTGTTTATAATACACAGATGCCCATGTGCATTGTTTATAATACACAGATGCCCATGTGAATTGTTTATAATACACAGATGCCCATGTGCATTGTTTATAATACACAGATGCCCATGTGCATTGTTTATGACACACAGACGCCCATGTGCATTGTTTGTGATACACAGACGCCCATGTGCATTGTTTGTGATACACAGGCGGCCATGTGCATTGTTTATGACACACAGACGCCCATGTGCATCGTTTTCGATACACAGACGCCCATGTGCATCGTTTATGATACACAGACGGCCATGTGCATCGTTTATGATACACAGACGCCCATGTGCATCGTTTATGACACACAGACGCCCATGTGCATCGTTTATGACACACAGGCGCCCATGTGCATCGTTTATGACACACAGACGCCCATGTGCATCGTTTGTGATACACAGACGCCCATGTGCATCGTTTGTGATACACAGACGCCCATGTGCATCGTTTGTGATACACAGACGCCCATGTGCATCGTTTGTGATACACAGACGCCCATGTGCATCGTTTGTGATACACAGACGCCCATGTGCATCGTTTATGATACACAGACGCCCATGTGCATCGTTTATGATACACAGACGCCCATGTGCATCGTTTATGATACACAGACGCCCATGTGCATCGTTTATGATACACAGACGCCCATGTGCATCGTTTATGATACACAGACGCCCATGTGCATCGTTTATGATACACAGACGCCCATGTGCATCGTTTATGATACACAGACGCCCATGTGCATCGTTTATGATACACAGACGCCCATGTGCATCGTTTATGATACACAGACGCCCATGTGCATCGTTTATGACACACAGACGCCCATGTGCATCGTTTATGACACACAGACGGCCATGTGCATTGTTTATAATACACAGATGCCCATGTGCATTGTTTATAATACACAGATGCCCATGTGCATTGTTTATGATACACAGATGCCCATGTGCATTGTTTATAATACACAGATGCCCATGTGCATTGTTTATAATACACAGATGCCCATGTGCATTGTTTATAATACACAGATGCCCATGTGCATTGTTTATAATACACAGACGCCCATGTGCATTGTTTTCGATACACAGACGGCCATGTGCATTGTTTACGATACACAGACGGCCATGTGCATTGTTTATGATACACAGACGCCCATGTGCATCGTTTATGATACACAGACGCCCATGTGCATCGTTTATGATACACAGCGATTTAGCCCACTAAGGGGGGTGACTTATAAACCATTCACACAGCAAATGAGATTCACAGCCTGTTATGGCCACTAGATGGAGCTGAGGAGCATAAGAATTCCCTATGCTCCTCGGCTCCATCTAGTGGCCATACTCAGCTGTGAACCCCATTCGCATAGCTTTTTGCTATGCGAACAAGTTATAAATTCCCCACTGAATGTCATTCAGTTCAAATTTGCATCCAATTTAATTTTCTTTTTTTTTCCTGGAAACGTTGCAGAAAATGGTATTTATAGCCTCTGCGTCAACTTACTGACAAGCAGCAGAGCTGTTTCAGTTGAAAGATTCTAACATACTATGAGACGTGATTATTCAGTCAAATCATTTGGTCTCTTTACAAGGACGAGGAAGCAATCCATTCTCATATTATGTAGAAAATTACAACCGCTGTGATCATTTCATCGCCGTCTTGATTAGCTATTGTGTAGCCTACATGTTAAGTGGATATTTATGTGCCGAGATCTAATATTTCCTATTTCTGTCATAATTATATTTAGACTTTAGATTATTACTTGTGTGCCTACTGAATATTCATGTCCACAGACCATTAATGAAGTTACCAGCTCACATTACAATCATTAACTCCTTCTTCACCAATAACAGAATACATTAAAATCCGGTATGTATGTCTGTGTGTGTGTGTGTGTCTGTGTGTGTCTGTCTGTGTGTCTGCGTGTCTGCGTGTGTACTCACCAAACAATTACTTTATTAATTGATCTTTTTAAAGGAGAACTATGAGGGGAGTGATTTTCACTCATCCTCATAGTTCGAGCCGACGTGTGACAATGAAGCTGTCACACGTCGGCTCAATAGATCGTGAAGTGAGCGAACACATACCGTCGCTCGCTCACATCTCGATCCTGTCCCTGCAGAGAGCCGTCGCTGTCACTCACAGCTCCCTGCAGGGATTCCCCCCTCCCCTCTCCGATCCTCCAGCACTGACTGGAGGAACGAACGGGGGAGGGGGCAGGTACAGCTGGCTCTGCCTCTAGATAGGCCGAGCCAGCTGTCACTCACGCAGCTGGATGGATCTCGTAAGTAATGTCGGGATCCGTCCCGCTGCAGCGGTCTAAGTATATCACGAGCTGCAGCTCCCTATATACTGAGCTTTGGGTCACGGGAGGATGCTAGTTTATGTCCTCCCGTGACCCTGAGGAGAACTATGGGGAAAAACACTTACCCCATAGTTCTCCTATAAACTGCATTGATGATCATGTCTATAATCCGATGCACACCAACTGGGATTTAGACAGTTTTTATTTTTTTAACCTATGTTAAAGGAGTTGTAAAGTCCCAGCATATCCTCTTACATAGTTACATAGTTAGTCAGGTTGAAAAAAGACACATGTCCATCAAGTTCAACCTATAGAGATATGAAGAAAAAAAAAGCCTAAACAACTATCCTCTCCTGTTATAACATCAGCATTGTAATAGGAATACATAGTAGAGATGTCTCTGAGAATACAATCAAAGCTTACTGGAAAAATTCCCTTTTATGTAGTGAGCGCTGCCTTCCCTCTGCCCATCACTTCCAACAACTTCCTGGATTCCCAGAGCATTTGACCACACCGCAATGCGCAGTACCGCAATACCATACGTTTCGGTGTGAAAAAAGTAGTGCATGCTCATAGGGCCCATTCACGGCTTCGCTGAGCGATTTTTCCAGCCTGAAGTC